ATACATTGGATTTTTTATGGAAAAATTTGGATGCCAAAGATAAAATTGCAAGGCGGATTCATAAACCACAAATACAAGAAAATATTATTTTATAAACTTTAAATAGTATTTATTCAGCTAAGTTTTAAAGGACGTCATTCTTTTTAAAAATAAAAAATAAAAAAAAAATCAAAACTTTTCTTATTGTGAATTGTTTGTATACTTTTAAGGATTATTAAAATATTTTCTTCGGTGTAGAAATTTTATGTTAAGGTAAATTCAAAAATTTGCTTTCATAAAATTTAGTAGTCAGTAACTTCGGAGATTATCTGTCTAATAAAAATCCCAAACAAATTTTTCAACAGAACACAAAAAACGTCACTGACGACAGAAACAGACGACAGAGAGACGGAAACGGGGGACCCGTTTTCTAAGGATCATGTAACGTCAAAGAAACATGAAGGTAGCTATTCTTCGAATGGACTCTATTATAACTGAAAAAAATTAAAGAAAAAAATATTGGAAAATGAAATATGTACAAACTGAAAACCGAAGTATTGAAAAAGAAAACGAAAATTCAAATATCAAACAGTTGTAAAAATAAAAATTGCAAAAAAAATCAAAAAACGCAATAATAACTAAAAAATCGGAAAAATCGACAAATTAAAATTCGAGGATGTGAAAATAAAAAAGTCTTGAAACTGGAAAATTAAAATCGAGAAATTGAAAAATCAAAAATTAACAAAATCGAAAAATCCAGGAATCTAAAAAAAATAGAAATTGATAATAATTTGAAAACTTACAAATTGAGAAACTGAAAAATCGGGAAACAAAAATTAAAAATTATAATAATTTCGAAAAATTGCAAATTCGTAAAATATAACTACACACTGAAATGTTGACAAAAACTGAAAATGAAAATACCCAAAAAATTTAAAAACCAGAATTGCATATTAGAAATGGAATAGTTGAAAAATCCGAAAAACAGAAAATTTAAAAATCAAGGCAATGGAAAATTTAAAATCGAAAAATTGAAAAATTAAAAACCTAGAAATTCAAAAGTCGAAAATTGAGAAAATTTTAAAACTAAAAATGGTAAAATTGTGAAATTAAATAATTATAATAATTAAAAAATCCAAGTTAAAAAAATCCAAAAATTCGAAAAATTGCAACTTAAAAATTGAAGAAGCGAAAAACTGAAAAATCAAAAAATCTCAGTTTGCAAAATTCTAAAATCGTAAAATTAAGAAACGAAAAATTTCAAAAGTGAAAAATCGAGAAGTTAAAATATTGAAAAATCGAAAAATAGAAAAATTGCAAATCAAAAAACCAAATCCAAAAATTGAAAAATCGAAAACAAAATTAAAAAAGAAAAATCAAATCATATATTTATCAAAAATTTTAAAACACAAAAAGTTAAAATATCGAAAAATTGAAAAACCGTAAATTAAATATCAAGAAACTAAAACCTGAAATAATAAAAAATCGAATTTTAAAATATCTGAAAATTAAAACGAAAAACGGGATAAAAAATCGGAAAACTGGAAGTACTAAAAATTGAAAACTTTTAATTTGAGAAATTAAAAAATTAAGAAACTATTAATTTTGAAAAAAGTGAAACTAAGGAAATAAAAAATTAAAAAACTTGAAAAATCGAAAAATTGGAAACTAGAAAAATTGTAAATTAAAAAATTGGAGAAGCTAAAACTGAAAATTCGAAAAATTAAAACATAAACCGATTTAATGGGGAAACCGAAAAATAAAAAGGAAATCGAAAAATTGAAAAACCGTAAATTAAATATCGAGAAATAACGAAAAAACCGCATATGTATTAAAACATCTAAAAATTGTTAAAATGAAAAATTGAAGAAGCAACTGAAAATTTGAAAAATTAGAGCATTAATCGACTTATAATGGAGGACCCGAAAAATAAAAGAGAAAATCGAAAAATTGAAAAATCAAAAACCTCTTAGTTCAAAAGTTGCAAAAAACTGAAAACTCGAAAAGTAGAAAATTGGAAATAAAAAAAAACAAATCGAAAAATTGAAAAATGGAAAAAAAATCGAAAAATGAAAATCGCAGTTATTTCAAAAATTTTAAAAAACAAAAAGTTAAAATATATGAAAATTAAAATCTTATAAAATAGAACAATAATAGTAAAAGTGAAAAATCAAAAAAAGCAAAATCAAAAAATCAAAAAATTGAAAAACCGAAAATTAAATATCCAGAAACTAAAGGCTGAAAGTTGTTAAAACGAAAAACTGCAAAATAAATCGAATAACGGGATAAAAAGTAGGAAAACTGGAAAAATGAAAAATTGGAAAGTTACAATTCGAGAAATTGAAAAATTAGAAATCTAATAATTTTGTAAAAAAGCAAAATTGAGGAAATAAAAAATTTTAAATCTTGAAAACTGGAAAAACTTGAAACAAGTAAAAATTGTAAATTGAAAAACTGAATAAGTGAAAAAGTGACAATTCGAAAAATTTAAAAATTACAAAATCTAATAATTTATAAAGAGTTCTAAATCGTAAAATCCAACAGAGGGAATTAAAAAGATCGAAAAATTGCAAATCAAAAATTAAAACATTAAAATTGGAGAAAGGAAAAGTCGCATAACAGTGAATTGAAGAATCGAAAAAAGAGAATTCAGAAAATTGTTAAAATTTAAAAATTAAATATCAGGAACCTAAATGCCGAAATAATGAAAAAACCGAAAATTTCTCAAAATTGTAAAAACAAAAAACCGCAAAATAAATCGAAAAATGGAAGTTCAAAAACTTGGAAAACTGGAAAAATAACAAAGTGAAAAGTTTTAAATTGAGAAATAGAAAAATTAAAAATCTAATAATTTTGAAAAATCGTAAAATTGATGAATTAAAAGATTAAAACATCAAAAAAAATGTAAATTGGAAATCTGGAAAATGGAAAATTAAAAAATTAAAGTATCTAGTACTTATTTAAAAAATCTAAAACGGAAAAATCCAAAAATTGAAAAATGGAAAAAATAAAAAATTAAGTAACCGTAAAATAAAACTACACACCGAATCATGGACAACAAAATCAACACAGTGGAAAATTAAAAATCAAAAAATTAAAAAATTAAAAATGGAGAAATCGAAAACTGACAAAATTGTAAAACTGAAAAAAGGGTAAAATTTAAAAAATCTGATAATTAAAACATCGAAATTACAAGAGTACAATAGTTAAAAACTTGAAAAATTGAAAACTAGAAAAATTGCAGGTTGAAAATTTGAAGAAGCAAAAAACTGAAAATTTGAAAAATTAAAAATCGACGCAAATTCAAAAAGTGAGAAATGAGAAATCGCATAATTGAAAAATCAACAATTTGAAAAAACAAAAAGTTAAAATATTTAAAAATCGAAAACTTGATGAAATCGAACATTTGTAAAAATGAAAAATCAAAAAATTGCAAATTTAAAAATCTGCAAAATTAAAAAATCGTAAATTAAATATCGAGAAACTAAATGCCGAAATATTGAAAAAAACCGAAAATTAAAATATCTAGAAATTGTAAAAACGAAAAATAAATCGAAAAGTGGGTAAAATGAAAAAATTAACAATTGAGAAATTGAAAAATTAAAAATCTAATAATTTCAAAAAAAAGTAAAATTGAGAGATCAATGAATTAAATAATGCAAAAAGTAAACAACTGGAAAATTTAAAGCTGGAAAGTAGATTAAATGCAAATAGAATAATTAAATATCAAGAAAAGAAAAGCCGAGATATTGAAAAACCGAAAATTAAAGTACATATCTACAAATTGTTAAAACAAAAATCGAAAAATCGACAAATTGGCAAATTGAGAAATTAAAAAATTAAAAATCTAAAATTAGAAATCTAAAATTAAAAACCTAAAACGCAAAAAATGAAAACTCGCAAAATCGAAAAACTAGAATCTAGTAAAAATTGTAAATTAAAAAACTGCCTAAGCGAAAAAATGATAAATCGAAAAATTGAAAAAATACAATATCTCATAATTTGGAAAAACCCCTGTCTAATAAAAATTCCCAACCAAATTTTTCAATGGAAAACACAAAAAAAAACCACACAGATAGACAGCAGACGACAGACGGACGTAGAGGCTACTTTTTTCGTACTTTAGGGAACATGAAACGTCGAAAAAACATGAAAGAAGTAGAAAGTGAAAATGTGAAAATCATAGTTTAAAATAAATTTCAGTTTTTATTAAACATGTGTCGAGATGCAACCAATTTTCTTGATATTAGAAATGTTGTAAATAATAATTTGTTCTAAACTAAAATGTGAAAGAGAGTGTATCAAATATTTTACCACCAAATACCTAATTTGGAAGAAAGTAAATGCTAAATTAAAATTTAATCAACGTTACATCAGGTTATAAGCCATATTATCATCACTTCTCAAACATAAAATTAAAAATACTTATTTGAAAAAAAAGAGTCACAGTCCTATGTCAAATAGGACAAGCTGTTAAAAACTGCTTAAAATATCCTTCAGACCAACTCTTAATTAAAATTCCTCACGAAAACATAAGCAGATGAGCTTTCTTCAGAGCTCTTTCTTTTAGGTTAAAATAAAATATCAAACATTTTTGTCACAAATACGACAATAAACAATAACCAAAATTTAAATCCAGTAAAATTATATTAACTGAAAATCGGTGCATTTTTCCCACCGTCTCAAAATTCGCTAATCACGAACAGTTACCTCAATTTACTTTACTTTAAGCTCCTTATTCACACCCGCTTATGTTAAAGTACATAAACAAACAGTAATTAATTATGCATTTTGCACACAACCTCATCCCCAAAGTGCAACAGCCTTCCCCTGCACCTGCACTCGCCGCACCTTTCCTAAAATTAGCACTAATCTAGATGTTTACGTTGCGATGCATCCCAAGTGCATATTACCGCCACAAATCTCGCCCTCCTCACGCATCTTCCACCATCTCCCACCACCTCCGTGCAATTTCAGGATTTTCAGCGCCTTCAGCATCACCATTCATCTGCTGTAATGCACCGATGCAGTTTTATCGGCTGATCCACCACGCAGTGGTACCGGCATTCGTACTCACGTGTTGCAGAGATCCGGTGCAGTACGAACAATGCAGTTGTGGGTTTTGTTCGCGGTGGTTCTTGGCGCGAGTGAGACGCGGCACTTTTACCCTTACTCGCAGTACCCTCAGTACTCGTACCACAGACAGCTGACCACCACCACCACGCAGAACCCGGTCTTGAGAAGGGGTGGCTACGAGGTGGCGCGTGTGGACGATAAGAGCTACCCCCAGAACCAGAAGTACCCGTATTCTAGCCATAGACATGTCAGTAGTACCACGACTGAGCCGGCGTATCTTCACAGTGTCAATGATGTGATGGTCGTGGATGAGAGGACTGGGATTCAGTACAACCCTTACAGTAAACACCATCCGGGGTGAGTTGGTATTCTAGTACTACCTAAAAGCAAAATTAGGGAATTTATTAAATCCAGTTCTATTAATGGAATGGATTTTAATGACTACTGTACGAATCATATCTTACTTAAACCTTACACTTTATACTTAATTTAATAACGATGTCGATTACCAAACGCGCCAGACGATATATTTCACGCTAACTACCCAGTTATCGAAAAAATTAGGACCGGCACCCACCATCCGGGCCGAATTGGCAATCCGGGGTTGATGACGGGACATTGAGGAGATAATTGCGTTTTTTGAGGAAAGGCGCGATGCAGGGAGGTTTCGCCGAAATTCGGTTAGAGGAATTGGATTTTATTTACGTGCCGTGGGGGTGGGGAATTGTGATATTTGTTATTCTGGACGGGGAACATCGGTGGGAATTAAATTCCTTCGTAGAAGAGGACGGGAAGGCCGTGTTTTTGGGAACGTAACGATAATTTAGGGGACAAGGGTATTAATAAATCTGTTTGGATTCACACAATTATTACAAAAATGTCGCAACGTAAGAAGAAAAGTTTCATTAAAACGGCATTATCCATTTTTTTTATGTCTTGCTTCTGCGGTGGAGAAGTAATTTGATTTGTTTTGACTATACAGGGTGTTTCAATATTCTGATACGCATTATTACGCTTTTTGGAAACATTTTTTCAAAAATTGTTTCATAGGTGCATTTTTTTTTAGTTATAGCACCATATACAGGGTGTACCAAGAGTTTACCAGAAAAAATCACAATTAATAATGAAATATATTTTTAGATCTAGTTTTATACTTAATTTTTTTCAAATTTTTCAGTACTCCTCACATATTAATCTTTTTGCAGCACCTTGAAAAATTACCCAAAAAGTTCTGTTCAAATCTTGGTTAAGAACAATCAAAACGGTATATTTTTCAAAACAGCTCCTTGAGATCCAAATCCCACAATTTTATTACCGATTTTTAGGCAACTTTAACGAAAGCTGAATTTTTCACTACTCCCCTTTTGAAGCGTGAATATTTCCAGTTTTTTTTTGACCAACATCGAAAATTACCAAAAGATTCTTTTCTATAAATTTCGGTCTCCAGAAGTTGTTTTCGGCCTCATTTTTTAGAAAATGCTGCTATTTTTCCAGAATCGCCTATAAGAAATATTGGTACTTTTATAGGATTTTGAAAAAATTGGATTTTCATGGCGAATATTTCCCATTTTGGCCGATATGTTTTTCTAATCAGCTCCTCGAGATCTATTTATAGCCAAGATTTTTTATAAATTTTCAGACAACTTTCTTAAAAGCTGCATTTTGAAAATTACTCTTATCAAAATTTCGACCTTTTTTCAACCATTTTCTAAAATTAGTTGTAGCGTTTTTATTATAGATTTCGTTCTCCAAAAGCACTTTCCACTTTATTATGTCGAAAATTCCTGCCATATTTCGGGAATCTCCAATTAGGAAAATAAAAATTTTTGAAAAATTGGGATATTTCCCAAATCTTGATCCGGAACCATATTTTTTTTTAATAAGTTCATTGAGATCCATATCCCAATTTTTTTATGGATTTTTAGGCAACTTTTCCAAAAGGTGATTTTTTTTTATTCCCCACTAAGAAAATTTCCACTTTTTTTGACTACCTTCTAAATTTAAGCTTAAAAAATTTTTCTTATATTTTAATTTCCAGAAATTGTTTTCAGCCTTATTTTTTCGAAAACTTGTGCTACTTTTCCAGAATCACCAATAACAAATACTGATTTTTTTTATAAAAAAAAAAATGGAACTTCATAAACAATATTACCCAAATCTTGGCCGGGAAGCATCAGAACGGATTTTTTTTTTTTGGCAAATGTGCGACCAAAATGGTCTGATTGTCGAATTAGCTTCTCAAGATCTAAATTAACAATGTTTTTCTAGTTGTTTAAACTTTATCAAAGACTAAATTTTTAAAATTTCAACCTTATGTTGAACTTCTTCAAAAATTACCTAAAGAATTTTTCTTATAGACTTTAATTTCCAGAAATTATTATTTTCGGCTTCATTTCTTCGAAAATTTTTACTATTAATCCAGAATCGCTAATAAGGAAGATCCGAATTTTTGAAAAATTGTAATTTCATATCGAATATTGCCCAAATCTTGATCCGGAACCATAAAATGGTATGTTTTTCGGATAAGTTCATTATGATCTATATCCCAGATTTTTTAATAGATTTTTAGACAACTTTTCCAAAATCGCCAATAACAAACATTGGAATTTTCAGAATTTAAAAAAAAAATTGGAACTTCATAGCGAATATTCGGCAAATCTTCGTCGGGAAGCATCAGAACGGGATTTTTTTTAGTTATTCAGTTCTTCAATATTTATATCCTATGAATGTTTTATGAATTTTTGGCCACTTTTCAAAAAGTTGAATTTCCCAATACTCCCGCATTATGAAAATTTTGGCCATTTTTGACTATACATATTTGTTCGAAAATTAGCTAAAGAGTTATCTTCGATCTCTAAAATTTAGTTTCGGCTTTATTTGTTCAAAAATCGCTATAATTTTTCCAGAATAAATAAAATGAAATATTGAAATTTTCAGAATTTTTAAAATTTTTAAATTTTATTGTGAATAGGCAAATGGACGATAAAGATGGTATATTTTTCGAATTAACCCCTCGAAATCTAAATTAACGATTGTTTTACGCATCAATTTTTAGACAACTTTGTCAAATGTGAATTTTTAAAATTTCGACCCATTTTCGATTTTTTTCGAAAATTACCTGAAAAATTTTTCTTATAGATTTTGATTTCCAAAAATTATTTTCGGCTTTAATTCCTTAAAAATTCCTATTATTTTTGCAGAATCGTTAACAAGGAACATCGGAATTTTTGAAAAATTTTAATTTCATTGCGAATATTTCCCAAATCCTGATCTGGAACCATAAAATGGTATGTTTCTCGAATAAGTTTATTAAGATCTATATTCCCGATTTTTTTTATTGATTTTTAGACAAGTTTTCCAAAAGGTGAGTTTTTCAGTTTCCCCTATGAAAATTTCTACATTTTTTTTTATTATCTTCTAAGTTTTCCTTATAAATTTTAATTTCCGGAAGTTATTTTAGGCTTCATTTTTTCGAAAATTCCTGACACTTTTCCAAAATCGGCAATAACAAATACCGGAATTCTCAAAATTAAAAAAAAAAACTTTGAACTTCATAGCGAATATTCCGCAAATCTTGGTCAGGAACCATCAGAACGGGATTTTTTTTTAATCAATAAGTTGTTCGAAATTTATGTATCCTATGAATTTTTATGAATTTTGGCCACTTTTTAAAACCTGAATTTCCCAATACTTCTGCATTATGAAAATTTTTGCCATTTTTGACCATATTCGAAAATTAGGAAAAGATTTTGTTATAGTTTTCGAACTCTAGAATTTATTTTCGGCCTTATTTGTTCGAAAATTGCTATCAATTTAGAATGAATAAAATTTAATAATTAGATTTTTAGGATTCTTAAAAATCTTAAATTTTATAGCCAATGATATGTTTTTCAAATTTTATAGATTTTTAGACAACTTTATCAAAAGCTGATTTTTTAAAATTTGAAACTTTTTTCGAATTTCCTTCGAAAATTTCTATTATTTTTCCAGAATCGCCAATAAGGGAGATTGGAATTTTTGAAAAATTTATTTTCGATATGTTTTTCGAATTAGCTCCTCAAGATATATATCTCATAATTTTTTTGAAAATTTGTATGCAACTCTGTCAAAAGCTGCATTTTTAAAATTTCGACTTTTTTCGACCATATTATAGGCAGGCAATTTTTAGGAATTTTAAAAAAATCTTTTTGGCTAATATTTTCCAAATGTTTGTTGGGAATTATCAAAACGGAATGTTTTTGGAATCAGCTCACTGAGATCTATATCCTCTTTTTTTACTGATAGGCAACTTTTCCAAAAGCCCAATTTTTCACAACTCCCTTGTAATGAAAATTTGGACCTCTTTCAGCCATTTTCGGAATTACCTACATTTCTTTGAAAATTCCTATTACTTTTTCAAAATCGCTAATAAGATATACCTCAATTTTTAGGATTTTTCAAAAACTGAAACTTCATAGCGAATATTGGAAAATTTTGATCGGGAACTATCAAAACGGTAGGTTTTTTTGGTTATTTTAGACAACTTTTCCAAAAACTGAACTTTTCATTACTAAGAAAATTTCAACCCTTTTTCGACTATCTTTTTAACCTCCTTTGATTCTTAGATAGTTTTGTTATAGATTTCGATCTCCTGAGGTTATTCTGAGTTTTATTTCTTCGAAAATTGCGACCAGTTTTTCATAATCAATAATATCAAACATTGCAAATCTTGATCCGAGACCACCAAAACAGTATGTTTTTAGAATCAGCTCATCAAGTATTACACCCTAGAATTTTTTTACGAATTTTTAATGAACTTTTCCAAAAAACTGATTTTGCTATGAAAATTTCGACATTTTGTTCGACCGCCTTCGAAAATTCCCTAATTTTTTTTTTATTGATTTTGATTAGTAAAAGTTGTTGTCAGCGTTATTTTTTCTAAAATTGACAAACTTTTTCGAAAAACGATAAAATAAAATACCACAATTTTTAAAATTTTTAAAAAATCACCTAAAGAGTTCTCATAGATTTCGATCTCCAGGAGTTATTTTCGTCTTTATTTCGTCGAAGTTTCCTACTAATTTTCCGAATTCCCCAGTAAAAACATGGAAATTTTTAACGATGAAAAGCACATTGTTTTCTTATTTCTGGAGAGTATTATTGTGGTGGATCACAAATTAAAAAGTACAAAAGTGAGCATTTTCCTTACAGACTTTGATTTCCAAAAATTATTTTCTTCTTCATTTCTTGGAAAATTCCTACTAATATTTTTCCAGAATCGCCAAAAGAAATTTCGCAATTCTCAGGATTTTTTTTATTTGATTTTATCTCGAATATTTATCAAAACAGAAGATTTTTGGAATCAACTCCCTGTTTTT